GCAAGAGACAGCCAAGAAGCGGGCTCCCCTGGTCAGAATAAATCTCAAAAGGTGGCCTCAAAAACCAGCCCTGCCCAAATTCAATTCTATCACACTGCTGGGCAATTCATGCCAAAACAATGTCAAAAATAATAATCAACCAGTAATCAGTGGCATCAAAGGGTTGGGTGTAATACCAAATGAGGTAGACAAATCTATCAGAGAGATCAGAGAAAGAGACAGTTAAAAAGAGCCCTGCTAAAATCCCAGGTAACTCTGTGCCTGCCCAAGACTGCAGCCTCTGAGGAGTGACATCAGGGGGTCACACTGTGAGGGAAACAGACTTTACTAAAATAGTCCAGCCAAGTCATTCAACAAACAAACAAGCAAACAATAATAAAAAACATTCCTTGAGGGTAGAGAGACAGGAATTACTGTCCAGAATTGCTAAACTGGATATCTAAAAATATCCACTTTTTAACAAAAAGTTTATGAGACAGGCAAAGAAACAGGAAAGTGCGACCCATGCACAAGAAAAAGACTAGGCAACAGACACTAACTGTGAGAGGCACCAGATGCCATATTTAATAAAGAAGCCATTATAAATACATTAAAAAACCTAAAGTAAGCTATGCTTAAAGAAGGAAGTTATAAAGAAAATGTCTCATCATAGAGAATATCAATAGATAAAAGTCATAAAAAAACCCAAATGGAAATTCTGGAGTTGAAAGAACAATAACTAAAATTAAAAATTCATTACAGTGGCTCAATAGTTGATTTGAACTGGCAGAAAAAAGAATCACTGAACTTGAAGACAAAAAGAAAGGAATAGAAAAAACATTCTAAGAAATGACGCCTGAAAGCTTCCCACAGTTGAACAACCTTAATCTACACATTCAAGAAGCTCAAGGAACGTCAAGAATGATAAATTCAGAGATTCACACCCAGACATATGGTAAGAATACTGAAAGATGAAGAGGAAATCTTGAAAGTAGCAAAACGACTTGTCATGTACAAGGGAGCCCCAATGAGGTCACCAGCTGACTTCTCATAAAAAATATGGAGACTAGAAAGTAGTAAGGTGGCATATCCAAAGTACTGAAAGAGAAAAAAAACAAAAAAGCTATCAACCTAGAATCTTACATTTATAAAAACTTTCTTTCAAAAATGAAGGCAAGAAAAGAGATTTCCAGATAAACAAAAACACAAAGAACTAATTGCTAGCAGACCCACCTAACCAGGAATAGTAAAGTTTTTAGACAGAAAGTAAACCCATGTGGAAGTCTAAATCCACACACCAAAAAGCAGTGGTAAAGGTAATTAGGTAATTGTAAAAGACAACATAAATGCATCTTTCTTCTTCTCTTAATGATGTAAAAAGCAGTTGTATAAAGGAATACGTGTGCAATTGTATTGTTGGGCTTGGGACTGATAGAAATGTATTACTTTTGGAACTAACAGCACAAAGGAGGTGAGTGGGAGCAGAGTTGTGTTGGAGTACAGAGGTGATATAGAGATAACACCAGATGCTAGCCTGAACCCACACGAACAAGTGGAGAGCCAGAAATGGTAAATAAGAATGCAAATAAAACTCTATAAGTATAAACTTGATCGTTTTCATGTTTCTTTAATAGACATAAAATTATATAAATAACTGTATAGATTTGTAACATATATAGACATAATACGCATAGCAGTAGTACAAAAGATGAAAGACAGAACAGAGTTATATAGGACTAAAGTGTTTGTATCTCACTAGAATTAAATTCATATATCTGAAGTAGATTCTTAAAAATTGAGGTGCGTATGGTAAGCCCTAGAGCAAGCACTAAGAAAATTACTTAAAAATATGGTGGAAAAATTATCAGAAATTTTTCTATATGAGACATATAAAAAACAAAAGTAAATTGATTAATATTTCTGTCCAATTATATACCAATAACAGCACTGAATGTGAGTGGATTAAACAATTCAATCAAAAGGCGGAGACTGTCAGACTGGAGAAAAATGAAAAATAACTCCATTTTAATTGTGTGATACTAGACTAAGGTTGGCAAACTATAGCTTCATGGGCAACCACCTGTTTTCTGTAAATAAACTGTATTTACCACAGCCAGATCGATTAATCTATGTATTGTCTACAAGCGCTTTTGTGCTACGACAGCAGTGTTAGGAAGTGGTGACATAAACCACATGGCCTGCAAAGCCTAAAATATTTACTATCTGGCCCTTTACACAAAACAGTTTGCTGACTTAACTCAAGGAAACCCACTGTGGAAGTTCTTCAACTGATCCTGTTTCCCAGGGCAACAGGGAGCAGGGCTGTCATTGGGAGTGAGATGGGAGGAGTTTTAGGAGTCTGAGGGCAGAGAAGCATAGAGTTGCCCAGTGAAAGGGTAGTGACTGTACCAGGGAAATGGAGCCGAGTGCAGACAGCACTAAGCTGCCACTCTGGAGGAGTGGCAGGCAGAGCGGGATTGCTTCTGACGTGCAAATGCATTAAGAACTCTTGAGAAAGTGAATCTGAATCTGACCAGAAGAACTGCCCCCTCACTTGTCCCCTTACATCCAGCAGCATTTAAATATCCCATGATTTCGGAAATTCCCATGTGTGACGGGTTCCTGCTGAAACAGCACTTACAAAGCGCCTCACGTGTGAGAACCTATCAGGCTAGTTTGATGCTCCTTCTCCTCTCTTACTTCATGGTCACTGTAAGGATTTCTCTCTAGTTCTCTCTTCTTTGGCTGTTGTTCATAGATTCAGTTCACTCTCCTCGCTACACATTCTAATTACTTTTGGGTGTCTTTCAGCCTTGTGATTATAATTCCTGTTAGCAATTATTCTCTTGACTAACCTCAGAAATTCTCCTGGCATCTCCTCCTAATAAGCATACTGTGAAGTCATAAAAAAATTCTTGCAATAAAATTCTCTATACAGTCAAATAAATAGTGGCAAGTAAGCATGCGTCTCTTTGAAAGATACCTGCACCCCAACCGGTGCTTATAATGGACTATCTGAATTCCAAAGATATAGAAATATCCAATCCCAACTAATTAAAAATTAAATATTAGTAAAAAACTTTTACTACTTTCAAGTACATAGAATTAAAACTTGGTTTATGACATTTCTATCTGTGGTTTTAGGGAGGTCTCTATGGAACTTGTTTGAAGAAGAGGAGAAAAATGATTTGTACTGAGCTACCTTGTAAAAGAATTAATATTCCAGGAGTGATACTGCCTCACAGTAAAGCACTGTAGTCAAGTCAAATTATCAGAGCAGGAAGAGGCTTACAGGCTAGATAAAATAACCAGTATCAAACAAACCATTTGGAAAATCTTATTTAATCTACTGATACTGTACCATGAAGAAACAATTTAATCACAATAAGTGCAGCCCTACTTATTTTCAGTTTGTAATCTTGAAGATTATACTGTGTGTCAAGGGAATAAAAAAAATACATGCAGTATATGCAGATGCAATGGACTTTATAGTATTTCTTTCCCCTGAACAGCTAATAGGACAGATCACTATTATAAGGGATTCTGTGATAAGTCCTTTCAGAAAGCAAATACTTTATTAATTTGTATTTTAATAGTTTATCCTAATATTTGATAGATGCATACAGTTTGGTTTGGCTAAAAAAAGACAAACAGTGATCCATCCAGCCAACAGGAGAAATCTGATCATCTTTCAGGTGAGCTAAGGTGAAAAGATTATTTATTGTAAGTAGATAATCAGGTGGTATTTCTGTTATTTTCCTAATTTTCTTTTTAAAAGAAAACCAAACGCCTTTTATTAAACATCTTCTATTTACCTAAGCAAGTGCTAGTAGGGAAACATGATCTGTGTTAAAAGAAAGCTATTTTCCTATCCATATTCCAGTTTAGTTTTTAAGCCTTGAACCCATTTAAATGAGGGCTATCTGAAAATATACATGTCTTGCTGTGGCACTTAGGTTAAAATGTCAGACACCAAATCTTTTCAATGATACATGGTTGAGTATATTCTTAGAAAAAGAATGATGATTCGAGTCTTGCTGCTCTGTTATAACCAAAAGCAGAAATTGCTACGAATAGTAGTTCCACAACTGTTCTTCCTTTCCACAGTTTTTTTCCTTTGCTTGATGTTTACCTTTTAATAGTTGCAGATCAACTGAATCTGTTCTAAGTTATGGTACTAAATCAAGCCAGATTTAACTACTATGTTCCCTGCTAAATTGGGCCTGCCCTTTTTATTAATATCACTTTTAAAATCTGAATATTATTTTGATTTTGAATAAAAAGAGAAACTGTGTATTACTTCTTTGGATTGATATGAGAAATTATATGCTAAATGCCATTCATTTTCATAACATCCTTAAGAATGGAATGCTTCATATAGTACATGTCATATGTTCCCAGTAAGTACAATAGATAAAAAAATTCTAATGTATTTTGTGATTTCCACATTATTCTCTGCATTTTCTGTTTTTACTTTATATTTAAAATATTTTCCCTAGGTGTTTAACCCATAATTTAAAAATTTTACATTTTATCTTTATCTATTACATCTCTGGAATACTTTCAAAATTAATAATTTCCTAAAGATGTTACATAACTAAAAAATTAAGTAAGAAATTCTTTCCTACATAATAATGGAAGGGAAAATAGGGACTAAAAAGCAGCTATTTATGAACACTTTACAGATTCTGAAAGATTCATTGTCACAAATAAACACACTTTTTTAGATGTCAAAGACTATTAGACAAAACTTTTATTTTGAATGTGATTTAGAGTCACAGGATCAAACTTAAGAATCACTTATAACTTACTGCTTGATCAAAATTAACATAAACATATAACAAATTATATTTTAACTCAAACTGACAAACCACTTACTAAAGAAAAACTTCCTGCTCTGCGCTGTTATAATATTTCCTATGAAGCATTGGTAAAGAATGTTGTGCCACAAATGGTTAAAAGCAACATTTTTAGGTAATATGAATAAGATATACATACATTACTCAAAACAAATATTAAGATTATTTTCTCTGCAAAGTTAGCTTGCAAATGAAGAGAAGAAACCCAACCCCGCATACTGCAATAGCCGTCCTCTTCAGAATTCCACTATTCCATGTAGATACTTCTTCTATTAATGGTATATGAGTTGGATCATTTTCTCTTTCATTTTGCAACTGATATTTGGTATAGGAGGAAAAATAATTAATGAATAGTACACTTAAAATAGAAATATATTTGATTTTTAAAAAGATAATACTATACTCATATTAGTACATTGGTTTAGATGTAGCCAATACAAGATTCCCAAGGAACATTTAAAGTGAACACGTATGTCATGAGAAACAGCCTTTCTTTCACCAGGAGCCATTTATAGTAAATCATTAGTTTCCCATTAAAAATAAATGCTCTCATAGATTATTATGTTTTCATATCATGCTTTTATGTCATGAAATAAAGTTCCTTTAATGTTAAAGTTCCTATTTCGACCTATAAGAAATGACAATTGTTATTTTTTCCTTCTGTATTAAATATCAATTGATTTCTTACAAAACAGTTAACCATTCTTTAGCACACCTATAATACATGAAATTTAATAAAAACTGCAAGATTTGATGCTAATGCTAGAAGTTTAATCTTTTATTTCAATATAATTGCAGAAACAAGCATCACAAAAAATTAAGTGGTTCTTTTAGTGCTTCTCAGCAATGAAAGTACATGACCCAGTCAGTTTCTCAATTCCCACACATAGAACTTCCTCACTAAAGAAGGTCCCCCAACTTGCGTGTTTGTGCACATGCGCCTAACAGAGAGGGAAGAGAGAGAGAGGAGAGGGGAGAGGAGAGGGAAGGGGGGAGAGGGGAGAGGAGAAGGGAGTGGGGTAGAGGGGAGAGGGGGAGAGGGGCGCCTAAGGGAGAGGGAAGAGAGAGAGAGGAGAGGAGGAGAGAGGAGAGAGGGGAGAGGAGAAAGCGGGGAGAGGGAAAGGGAGCAGGGGGAGACGGGAGAGGGGAGAGGGGACACTTATTGGGGGAGAGGCAGAAAAGGGAGAATGAACAGAAACCAAAGATCCCTGAAAGATTAAAAACAATCAGGCACATTTATAGAGGGATATTTACTAGAAGCATCCTGTGCTAGAGTGGTGACGAACACTTTCAACATCAGCAAGAGTAACTACTTCTGAAATCTACAGTGTAAATATTTAATTTCAAAAGCTTGCAAAATTAATTCTAAATTTATAGCAAAAATGGACTTCAATGCCAATGTCGCTAATACTGTATTCTTGGTCTAACTTCCAAATGGCTTCATTCAGCCACAGATTCCTTTCTGACACCGATGCCCCATTTACTGAGTCCTGACACAATCATTCCTTTTATTAACCAATTACTTAGAATGACCCTTCTGACAGGAGCATGTCAGTATGTTGGTCTGAAAGAGAGTGATGTGGTGCTAAAGTCTAGCTTTGACCTCTCCCACCCTCTCTCTGTTACCTCCATACACTCACTCATCTATGATAACTCACATGGTTCTTTTTAAAAATCCCCTTCAGTTATTGGTAAACTCTGAAATAGCATAAGCTAAACAGGCACGATAGCATATTTGCAAATTTGGAAGCCTTCACAGTATCTTTAAAGCAAATCACATTATGGTGATTACTACTCGTTTACGATGAATCCAGAAAACCCAATGCACTAGCTTGTTCCAAAATTAACTTTCCTGCTCAAAGAACTGTATCTGCCATTATTATAAACCAGTGACTGTTTTCAAGGCTAGTCCTTACATAGAAATGTACAGATTCAAGTAAAGAATGTCACGAAAGAAGGCCTTCCATTTAGCTAGAGAAAGCTACAATTTCTGTTGATAGGACACATTATTAAAATACATATTATGGTAACTGATTGAACTATTTATGTTTTGGAGTCAAAGCCAACCCCTAAAGCAGTTTCTTAATTTCACTCCTTTAAGAAAATCTGGTCTCTCTCTTTCTCTCTCTCTCTCTCTCTCTCATTTCATCCCAATTCTTAACCCCCCCAACCCCCACGCCCAAATGTTTTTAGCTCATATTGAAGAAACCAAATAATTACCAATATGAGACAAAGATGACTTAGGGAATTTCCTATACTACACATTAAAGGTCGATGCTTTACAGGAAGTATCTTTACTTAAATCCTTCCATATTTCCCTTGGATTCCCATGAAAAACACCCTACTAAGTGAAATCAATAAAATATTCCCTTAATTCTAGATGCCGGGGATAGTGAAGATGAACAGTGCTATCATTTACATGTTGTCAGCTAGCTCAGGCTCTCCCTAGCCTGTGTAGCAGTTTGCCTGACATACAGCAGGCACTCTTATGTTTGCTGAATGAATAAATGTCAGAGATAATACAAGTTCTAAGAAGCCTCTTCTCTGGAGTTATCTTCTAAAAGAACTTTGAAGCAATTTCTCATTTACCCCATTTAAAATGTCTATTCTACTTTTTTGTAGAATTTACTTCACAATTTTCTGCTCATTTTTTTAAAAAGACTCTTTTTGACTGAACATATGTTAACAGCTAGAATGACAAATTACTTTGACGATGTATAAAATTTATTCTGAGGAAACTTTTTTGATGAAAAAATATTAATGAAAATATTAAATGACTTATGGGTTGATACTATAAAAATTTAATGCAAATCTAACGTTCACATTATATATTTTAAAATACTATAGATATCAAACATATTAAATAGACTTGGAGACCTCGGAAATGAATTTTTTAGTCAAGTGCAAGTTTTCCTTTACTACCTATCTTCAAAAAAGTTCCCTATTTAGATTTTGTTATAGCCAATTTTCTTAATGGGGGGAAAATCACCTGTCTTTGAATCTAGAAATATACTTGTATATAAGTATAGAAACAAGAACTAAAAAAGCCCACACTTTTTTAAAAAGTGAAATTGTAAAACATATTGTACGAAGTCTAAAAAATAGAAGGAATATTTCATCCACAATCCTACCTCATTAACAGAACTAATAAACTTTCATTTGGGTAATTTTTTTATCTGCACATTTACAAATAAGTAAAACTTACAAATATAACTTCATACCTTTAACAAGTTGATAATTCATTTTCATTATTGTTTACAACTGGCTGCATATCATTATCCAAAATAAGTGTACCATAATTTATTTAATCATTCTTATAGTAGAGGACACTTCTATATACAATTTTGGAATTATTAAACTATTACCGAAAAATGTATTTTTATCGTTCTTGGCACATCTTGCCAAAATGTTTTTGGAAGCGGCTGTGACAGCAGTCTCACACGAGAGTATCGGTTTGGTGAACTCTAGTAGAGTAATACATTTCTCCCTGCTAATTTAAAAGATGCAAATCTCTGTTCTTTTAGTATGCATTTCTTAAATGACCAACAAAGTCTGTTTCCTACGTATATTTGTTCCTTTGGAAACTGTCCTCCTTTCTACTGTCTAGTGGGAGCTAAAATTGCTTTAGTCAGAATTACTTAATCGTCTAACATACAATGCTGCAAATTATGTCCCCCACTTTTTACATTAAATATATACCTTCTGAATTAAATCCTTTAGTTTGCAGACCTCTTCATTCAAATCTTCAACATTACTAACCAGTTCTTCACAAACTGAAGTAAAATTCCGAGGCGAAGCCCATTCGAGCACTATCTGTTAATATTTTCAAAGGTTACATTTTAAAGAACAGAAAACAACTTACACAACTTTATAGCCACAAAAATTATACAACACTTTCAAACATTACATTATTTAACTGAAGAGCAAATGCTCTTTTTTTTCAGGATTGTTCAGGATAAATCCTGACGCCAAAAAGTCAGTAATTTTATACAAATAGTCTAACTAGTTTCCTGAATGCATTTACCAAATAAATAAAGTATATATAACATTATGAAGACTAATATTAATAATACTTATGGTGAAGAAATAAATTCATGAAAGTTTTAAGAATGACATGATTCCCATGATAGTGTTATATAAAAATCACACGAAAACAAGTACATTAAAATTTTTTCACTATAGGCAAACAGCTAAAGCCAAATCCATGAAAAACTCTACAAAATAAGTTTGCTTTTACAGGTTATTTATACTTTCTGTATTTAAAATTTCCTTCATTAAAAACCCTTATATTGATATAGTTTTTAATAACACTCGACACACTGTTTTGTTTCAACTTTCACTTGGGTCTCCTGTCACCTTATATTTTAAACAATTAAATTTCCTTAGGAACAAATGGTAAGTTCAATACACGATCAGTTTAATTTTTAGTCTGACTTATTTTTCTTTTCTTGTGGTATAGAAGACAAAAAGATTTTCAATTAATTACTATGTAAAAGAGCAATATTAAATACATTGACTTATTTAGATCTTATATGCTTTTGTAGAAGATACAATTATACCAGATAACCACTGTTGACTGAATTATCACTGACTTTTCTGAAATGTTCTTCAGCATTCATACTTTCTTCATTTAGTAACTTTTGTAGAATACCTTGTGAGAATTTACAGGCAACTCGGTAATGATATTCTGTACAGCTGTTATTAAATGGCGACATTGTTTGTTTAATTTCAGAAGAAAGTTGAGGAACTCATCACCACTAAAGAGAGAAAACAAGCAGGAATCACTAATATGAGCAATTTACTTCATTCTATTAGGCTAGTTACTCAATGTCTAGTCATAACACTTAGTAGATTCTCTAAAAAGTATTTACAGAGTGGCTTAAATGTATTAGCAATTGAAATAGGCATTGAGTATACAAAAAAAGCTGAATCTCCACTCTTGAGAATCTCAAATTTCCGGATGAGAGGCAGACAATTCTAAAATCATTATTCACAGGGACATACAAAGAAATATAAAGTGTCAATTTTGAGTATTTACTATGTGAAGGCACTGCAAGCATTATTTTACATTCGTTACTCTTTTAATTCCTCCCAACAACTCTGTAAGGTAGATGCTGCTGTCTAAACCTCAGAGGTAATGAACTTGGCATAATGGGACTAGGGAATTAGTAATGCTTAGAGAGAGAACCTGAACCAAGTCTGGGGCCTTAGATTAAGTTCATCAGGTAGGAAAGGAAGAAAAGGGATTTTGGATGAAGACAACAGCAGGTGCAAAAGTACGGGAGTAGGAGAGCACCGAGCTATAACTACCGCACCATTATGAGAAAGTAGGAGGAAAAGAGGCTGGATATAACCATTTATTTAAGGAACTTTTGTGATATGCTAAGAAACTGAATTTTATCTTTTTGATAATGTACTATCAAAGGATTTTAAACAAGGAAGTAGAAAATCAGATTTTTTTTTGTATGAAAAAGCTTATTTTGGGGGTGGTGAATTAAAGGAACACAAAGGAGGAAGTAGAGAGAATTAGGAAGCTAATCCATCTAAGAGATGATGAAGGGAAGCTTAAACTAAGGATCTGGCCGTGTCAGTCTGATTGGGGGGAAGGGTAGAATGGTGGTTTAGGAAACATCTGGGAGAATAAACTGTAAAACTTAGTGATGGGCTGCATGTAAAAGAAAAGGAAGCATCTAGGATGATTCTAAGTTTTTTGGTTTCAGTAGAAGGAGGTACCACCATGCAAAGAAACGAGTTTAGGGGTGGATGGTAGGGAAGAAAGTGAGGTGAAGACAAAACATTATGGCATAATAACTAAGAACACAGACTCCAGTCAGGAAGACCGAAGTCTGAATTCCACACTTAGGGTCTTGGGCAAGGCTAATCTTCCGCCAGATATTTCCATAGCTCTCAAATTGAGATACAAGGACTGTCAGGAAGACTGAAAGGGACAATGTATGAAAAGCACCTAGCATTTTCTCTCGAACACAGATGGCATTCAAACAAACTTAATTATAATGATGATGGCAATGGCATGAGACATGTAGATGACGACAGCCAGTAAGCAGGAGAAAATGTCGGTCTTGTAAGGGTGCTTATCCTGGAGATCACAGGCTTTAGAGGCTAGACAGAATTCAAGGAGCTGGTATACTTAGACGGGGAAAAATTACATCTTTATTTTCATTAACCTCTGACATAAATTCAGTCTTTCCACCAATTGTGAATGTAGGCACAAACCACAGCAGTATTAGAGGCACCTGTAATTTGATCACCAGTGGAAATCAGAACTATGGTCATGGAGAAGACCACAAAGAAAAGGGACACAGAATGTGAAGAGGGAGAGCTGACAGGTAGAACAAAAAAGCTATCAAAGGAAAAGCAGCCTCAGAAGAAAAAAATCGGGAGGTAAGGTCTGTTACGAAAGGCAGTGAAAGGGATGGATTCAAGAATAAGGAAAAGGTCAAGCATGTGAAGTATTTAAGATAAATCCACTGATTCTGGCAATGAAGAGACACTGGTGGCTAGATTAGTTTCAGTGACAGAAGTCAATTTACAGTAAAAGCTACACAGAAACTTATTCAACCCAACAGAAAAGTGAACCAAGGATATGAATATGTAATTCAGAGAAAAAGAAAAAATGAAATTTAAATGGATAATAAACATGGGATTACAATAAAATAAGGTGTTACCTTCCAGCGGAATGACAACAATTAAAATCATTCATATCAAGAGTGGACAAATGTGTGAAGTGACCTTTCTGGAGGGACATTTAGCAGCATCTACTATACTCAAAAGGCACACAAAAACTACTACTATGGGACCAAAGGTACTTCTGAGTCCACACGCAATTCTTCTCAGGTAGAAGTTCTGACTACACTACGCAGAGTTTCCTTCATGCTCTCTCTGGGGGAAAGGTTCTAACAAGCACACAAGGTCATAACAAGGTCAGCCTCCAATGAAACTTACCAGCAAACTTTCCTCTGAGACACATTGCTGGGACTTACATAGTATTTTAATTTAAAACAAGCCTTTTTTTCTTAGCTATTTGCTTGAAAAAGAAACAGTCTATATAAAATACTTTAAACTTTATGAACATAAAGTCATATATATATATATTTTTTTTTCAAGTCACCAAAAATGAAAAGTGTTTGATGGTTGCTTTATAAAAGCAAACTGAAATAAAAAAATTTAGATAAGCGCTTGTTCTATTTAGCAAAAGTGGTATTTATAAAGGCCTTTTCAAAACAAATATAATTCTTCATTCCATTTTCTTTCTGATCTTTACCATATAAAAAATAGAAGAACTTGAGTATATTTCTGTCAAGACAACAGTCATTACTTATATTAATTTTGTTTCTATGTAATATTTATATAAGGTACACTTAGTGCTCTTTAAATACTCAAATTTTATTTATCAATAAAAAGAATAATTACTCATAGAGTAACTCATGAATGTCCTGTGTGTATTTTACTGCTCAAGGAAATTAAGATCCATTGAGCACTGTCATTCAAAATGTCAGCTGAGAGCAGGTACATAATTCTAGATAGGCACTCACCCACAGTTACGTGAAATAGAGTTTATATAAACTTATAAACTCTTACTCTGAACAAAGTAAGGCCGATAAGTTAACAACTTAGTTCAAATAAGCCAGTAATATTATGAACAAAATCAGCCTTAGTGAATGAGAGGAAAATGGTGATAGATCTTGTTCAGAGCCTCTAAATACATATGTAGGCGAATGGTAAAAAACACACCTGTACAGTGTGCCATTCATCACACACCGTGTGAATGGGTGGCCCACTCTCCACCCCAGAGTCATGCAAGCATTCACCATACAGACCTTTCCATGGTAGTCCTGATCATTCTGTATCCATTTAAAGGCTTCAAATAAGCAGATATGGCATATGGTAGGCTATCATCTGACTAAGTTATCATGTATTTTCCACGAAGCCAAACACTCCCAGGCTCCTCTCTACCAGAGGATTATACTTCATGCCCCGGTGACATAAGGCCTGGCCTGTGACGAGTTCTGGCAAAGAACATATGACTGGAAGTGACGTTTAACTTTTGAACAGAAGCTGTAAGAGCCACTGACTGGTAGTGCCACATCTCTTTTCCCTTTGCCACAAGAGCAGCGTGTCCTGGTTGGAGCTGTTTCTCCAGCCCCTGCTCAGAATAATAACGAGGAGGAGGGCCACTGGCAGCTGACCATGTTATAGGTGGTCAAGAAATAAACTCGGTAAACAAAAAAGAAAGAAACTGTAACTAAAAGTCATTTAGATTTAGAAGTTATTTGTTACTGCAGCATAACATAGTATAAGCTAACACAACAGGCCATATTTTAAAAATGGAAGTCGAGTATTAGGATAAAATTTATCCAAATATACATACTATTTGTAGAATATCTAAAAATATCTAAAAAATGTGTAGAATATCTAAAAAAATTAAAATTCCCAATGCTCTTGTCCAAAGATAATGACTGATACTATTTTCCTCCAAAATATTTTCTTATAGTCCGCATTTTCTTCCAGTATTTTTCATATGCATATATATAACTGGCATTATATCTCACAGTCCACTTTGAATTGTGCCTTTTATACTTATTATGAGTATCTTCCCATGACATTGTCTCAAAATAATTTAAATGGCAAAATAAAATAATTGTATTGGTGCAAAGTAATTTAACAGCTCCCCTGATGTTAAATATTTGCTGTCCAATTTTAGAATGTTTATGAATAATAGATGTGAACAATATATTTTTTATATAGAATTCTGTTATCTATATAGATTTTTCATTTTGGAGGAGAAACAGTTTCCTTAACGGATATAATTTTCAGAAGCCTTTGATATATTCAAGTAGCTGTCAGATAGCTCAGAGAAAAGGTGTGGGCAGAAACTGTTGAAAATGTCAAGACATGAATGAAAACGTAACTATTGCTGTTCAAAATATTTCAAAATAAGTAAGAATGGTTATAATACTTGTAAATTACATTCTGTAATTCTGCAACCATACTAAGTGTAGAAAAAAGTAAATGCATGGCGCATGTGTTCCTGTAAAAGAGACTATTTTAGAAAATTTAAACACATAGAAGAAAAGTATCTTAAAATGAATCAGTAGGTAAATTGTTGAAGTGACATTACCAGATTATAATCAATCAGTTCAACTTTTCTTGCTGTTAGTTTTCTTATGACTTAATGACTAATTTCTTCTTTAAAGAATGACTTTGAACGAATGGGAAGTTAAACCTTTTCCATAACAGCATGTAAACAGAGTCTGTGATTTAATAACAAGGTCAAATTCCTGAAATATATATCTGCCAGTTTTATTTTTTAAAAAATTCAGCAGTTTTAATAAGTAAACCATTCAGGATTCTGCACATTCTTTAAGTTTATTAAATCTCACAAAGTAAATTCATACAGGCAACTCTGCCATCATACAAAAGAGTTACATTAAAAAATTTAATTTGCAAGTCAGTCATGTAGAACTTAGAGTATTCCTTCATAGAAACAATAAATTCAAAAAGTAAAGAAAATGAACTAAGTAATTCAAGATTTGCTCATTTTCAGTACTCACAACTGAAATCCTTCACAATGTGTTCAAATGTTTAAGAGCTATATTATTTTGAAACGATGATAAGGTATTATTTTGAATATAAATCTTGTTATAAGGAAATATATTCAGAAAAAGGAAAATAATTTAACTTTGCAATAAAATTTTTAAGAAACCTGGATCATCTAAATTATCCCCTGGAAGATTTCTCTAAATTCTAAAATGGTGTGGAAATTTATTATTCGTGTGTTTAATTAATGTTTATAGTTTTTAGGCAGGCTAACTAGTGATGATATTACTGCCTTTGTAAGTATTATATTTTAGAGGATATAACTTGGATGAACCTCAAGGAAATTAGGCTGGCTGAAAAGAAGATAATCAAAAAAGGATACGTACTGAATGATTCCATGTATGTAGCATTCATGAAATAACATCATTTAAAAAATGGATAACAAATTATTGGTTGCTAGGGGTTAGGGATGAGGGAAGGGATGGATGAGGGAGCCTGTGTAATGCTGTTAGGTGTACTGATTATGGCAGTGGTCATATGATACTACACATGATAAAACTGCATAGAGCTATACCCATACATAACAATGAGTACATGCATAACTGGTAAAATACGAATAAGCTATGTGGACTGTACCAACATCAGTTTTCTGGCTTCAATATTGTACTATAATTATG